GGTTTGTCTTTTCCTCCATTTCATGTAAATTTTTGCTTGTTTTTTCTTCTATTTCTTTAAGGGATTTTCTTGTTTCCTCTTTAATGGTCTCTATCATCTTCATAAGATAATTTTTAAGGTCCATCTCTTCTTCATTCTCTACATTGGGTTTTTCAGTTCTTGCTGTTGTGGAGTCCCTAGATTCTGGTGGTGTCATATTGGTTTTTCTGTTGTTGAGTGTGTTCTTACTCTGTCGTTTTCTCATCCCTTCTTCCAGTGGGTGCAGATGGGGTCTCTCCCTCTCTTAGGTGGCAGGCGGAGGGCTCAGGCTCAGGTGGCAGCCGGATGGCAGAGGGCAGTGGATGGGCAAGGGTGAGGTGTGTCCAGACTCAGGGTGGGCCTTCCAGTCTGGGCACGACCACTCTTGTGAGGGGGGGTTCAGGCAGAAGGTAGCAGGGGTTAATGGGGGAGTTTGGGGGCAGAGCAGCACCCAGACTCACCTGAGGCTTGGCCGCCAGCCAGAGGACCGGGGTTCCTTATATTGACATGACCTCATGTAGAGTGATAGTCTTCCACCAGGAATAGTGAGTCAGAATGGAAATATTGTCTCATTGAGAGAAAAGGGACAACCTCAGAAAAAAATCCCTGGGCCAGTGAAAGGTGTGGTCCACTCAGCATGGCCCTCTGATTTCATCTTGCATGGTTCCTAAGGCTCCCTGAGGTGACATGGGCCACAAACATCAACACACACCCCACCTGTAAATGGACCTCAGACTCAGACATGGCCATTGGCAGGAGCTTGGACCCAGATGAGATCCTGGTTGTGGGTGAAAACAATAGACACTCATGTAGGGGTGGTTCTGGTAGCAGCATGACCCCCAGACTGTGTAAAGGCCTCAGGTGGTGGACCCAACCCTAGGCTTCTCTGTGAGCTTTGGTGGGGACAAGAGACTCAGACTTCAGCACAAATAACCTTGGAAGTAGGACTATGGACCCAGATGTGGTCTTCATCCCCAGGTCTGGATGCCACCATGGCCACAGGTGGCAGTGCAGGCTACTCTGATCAGCATGGGCCTCGGAAGCAGTGTGGCCCTCAGACACCAGCATCCCCATGACCTTGAGAATCTGAATGATCTTCAATAGTAATAGGAGCCTCAGACATCAGCACAGACCCTGGTTGCAGTAGTGCAGTAGACACAGTCATGGCCCTCAGGTGTATCTCTAGCCTAGACATCACTGGCATAGGTAACAGTGCAGGCCATTCGGGATCTGCATGTATCCTGGCCTGCATGTATCCTGGCCTTTGGAAACCAGTCAGGTGGCTGACCTGATAATGGGCACTCTCATGGCCTTCATTGGGCAACAGGATCCATATACATAAATCCATACAGTGGTTGCAAGAGGGCCATGAACCTAGCCATGGCCCTTAGCAACAGGTTGGCCTGGGATGACACCATTGCCCTGGCTGGCAGCATGGGGCACACACATCTGTATGAACCATGGTGAAGCATGGCCTCCAGACTCCTACAAAGCCACAGGCTGTGGAACAGATCCCAGGGCTCTGTCGGGGCCATAGTAGAAACCTGTGCCACAGACTTCAACATAGACCCCAGCTGTATCTTCTCCATGAAGTCAGTCATGGACTCAGGAATCAGCTCATCCCATTCAGTTGTCATTGTTTTTAACAACCGAGTAACAGTTCATTGTGAAAATATATCACATTTTTAACCCATTATTCTGTAGAGTGATACCTATATTGTTTTCAGTTTCTGGCTATTAATAATAAAGCTGCTTTGAACATCATTGAGCAAGTGTCCTTGTGATATGATTGAGCTTTCTTTGGGTATATGCCTAAGCATTGTATAACTGGGTTCTGAGGTCGATTCCAAATTTTCTGAGAAACTGTCATACAGATTTCCAAAGTGGCTGTACAAGTTACACTCCTACAAGAATGCTCCACAGCCTCTCCAGCATGAACTGTCACTTGTGTTTTTGATCTTAGCCACTCTGACAGGTGGAATCTCATATTTATTTGATTTGCATTTTCCATGATAGCTAAGTATGTTCAACATTTCTTTTTTAATTTATTTATTTAATTTAGAAACAATCGGACACAATGCTGGTCATTCGGTAGAAGCGAATGCCATCAGTTTATTGCAGCCAGCAGTTTATGTAATAAGAGAAGATGGAAAACACTACCTGCTAGCAGAATATATTCCCACGCACTATCATAAACAAGGACACCACAACCCCCACCCACGGCCAACAAAGCAAGAAGGGGATGGGAAAAGGCATAACGTTTCAAAACAAGAAAGGTTCAGAACAGGATGTTGATGCTAGTGGGTCAGGCCAGGAAAACAGGAGGTACCTGTGGCTATGCTGGAAAACAACTCACAGAGACCCCGTGGGGGCTGGGTCCCAACACTTCAGAGTGAGACCCAGTCTCCAAAAGCAAAGAGGCATGGGCTAGACACTTATTGTTCTTACAGAGGAAACCAGTTCACTTCCCAACACCCAAGTAGGGGCAATTCAAAACTGCCTGTAACTCCAGCTCCAGGAAAAAGAACTCCCTCTTCTGGCTATGGGTATCTGCTCTCACACAAACACACAAAATTATTAACCTTTAAACCATCAAACAAAAGTATAGTTGTAGTATACTGTATCTTATATTTATTTTATCTTGATTTATTGGTCAAAAATTTCAACTTAAATATCTCTATTGTACTCATTTAGCATGACTCCCCCCCCAAAAAAAAAACCCAGTATGGTAGCCCTCAGTAGCCACATTTTATAGATATGGAAATGGAGCCACAGATAATTAAATAAGCTGCCCAAATTCCTGTGATGGGTAATCTTGGTTGTCAGTTTGACACATCTGGAAGAAGAAACCTCAACTGAGGAATTGCCTCCCTCATATTGGCCTGTGGGCATGTCTGTGGGGGCATTTTCTCCATTTCAAATTGATGTAGGAGGGCCTAGCCAACTGTGGGTGTTAGTATTCAGGCATCTGTACTGGCCTGTCCTTGGGGTTCTGACAGGATACACCCTCAGTTTCAGCCACTAAGAGCACCACCTGTGTATATTCACTGTGTTCCCTTTTAAAAGGGCCCTGCCCACCTCTCATCCTTCTCCACCTCCCATCCTTCTCTCTTTCTCCCCCTCTGTCTGTTCCTCTCCCTCTCTCCCTCCCTTTCCTTCACCCTCCCTCTCTCCATCCACCCTCTTTCCTCTCTCCTGCTGCTCCTGTCCCTGGAGGTTGGTCTCCCCCTTCCCCTTTCCCCTTTTTGTAATCCCCTTCCCTAAAAAAAAAAAAAAAAATAACTCTGCTTGGACCCTGTCACATTTTGTCTTTCTCTTGAGTGCCATTTTTCTTAAATTACAACAGTGGGTGGTTCCATCTCTAGGCCAAGTGGGTCTAGTCTCTGGAAGAAAGCCAATAAGCAGACATGGTTCTTTCATGGTTCCTGCCTCAGCTCCAGCTTGAATTCTTGCTCTTGACTTCTCTCAATAATGGACTGAGGTCAGGATGTGTAAGTCTTTCCTTCTCAAAAAAATAAATAAATAAATAAAAATAAACCCTTTCCTTCTCAAAAAAAAAAAGAAAATTTAGAAATAATCTTATTTTACATATCAATCCCCATTCATTCTCCCTCTCATCCTCCCAGGCCCCTCCCCAATCCCATCCCAT